GAACCTTGAAATTGCTTGAGACTTGGGAACATCACATTCTGTACTCCTCACCGCAGCTGTTCTGGGTGCTCCTGGTTTGGTATAAAGGGAAATGAAAAAAGCATCTTCCCTTAAAAAACTGCATTCAGGTCCATCATTGCTGGGACTGTGAAGACGCGATTCTTTATGCTATAATCTTCTCAAGTAACCTTAAAAAGATGTAAAATCCTAGGTCTGTAACAGAAAACCTTTAAAGCATCTGACATATTTCCACCATAGGTGGGACAGGTGGCATGTGTGTACTGGGGGGTACTCTTGGGACCACTGCCTGTAGAGTGGGGGAAGCAGGATGGGGCAGTAGGGGAAAGCTGAACCACGATGCAGTTGTTAGAGGGAACTGCCCAGTTCCATGAGGAATTCTGAAACTGGATGGCACTTCAGATACCCCAGATTGCAGCAAGGAAGCTGGACTTTTGTATCCTCACTGGATGCTTGTGGGCATAGTTGCAGGAAAAGCAGTTCTCTGCTGAGGGCAATTCCTGGGGGGGGGGGGACACAAAGAGTGGAGTGTCCTGGTCCTAAAGGAGGGAGGGCAGAGCAGCGTACCACAATACCCTCTTACCCCCATCAGCCCACTAATAATGAGAGACCAACATTATTTAAATTATTTATTTTTTCTATAATACATCTCATTCAAACCATAGAATAGTCTGATCCTTTTTTTCCTCAAGCACAAGTTACACTCATCTCAGATGTTTTTTCTTTCCTTCTTTTAAGCTTACAGGATGGATAAAGATACACTTTAATAGACAAAAACCATCACTCAGAGTTTATTACAAATACAACTTCCCAGGGAGGCCCACTGCTAGCGCTTTGGAGCATCTAGGGTGGGTCCTGGGGATGCAACATTTTAAAACTCTCCTCGTTAATTCTGCCACAGGTGGTCCTTGAACCATCCTTAGAGGAACACTGCTTAGGACTTGTTATCTATTGGAAGCAATTTCAGGAAATCCAGGAATAATTAAGTATACAGAAATAGCTCTTCTATAAAATTTCCATATAAAAATAACAGTATTTATTTACAAAGTTTGAGATGCTATAAAATAATACATCATATTAGGTTAGGTACTTCGATCTAATAAAGTCTACGTTAGGCAAATCAGATGTGGTGTCTGCATCTTCCCCTGACTTCTCTCGTTTAAACTGTTTAAAGCATGTGGCACCACAATGTTTCCTTCATGCAGAAAAAAAGCAGACTATATTTTCTGGAAACCAAACCCAACAGCACATGATCGGAGTAAAGCATCTCCAAAGGAAAAGGTGAACGAACTTGTGATTTGGCCTCAGAGCCTCTCTTCTGTCTCAAAGTCAAGTGTGGTGGTGGTAAACAAAACACCTCAAGGAACTCCCAGTACCAGACCATGGTCCTAAGAGCTCAGGCCCGCGGAGCAGCCTGCCAGGGAGCTTGGGCCGGTTGCAAATGAAAGGTGGAACCTGCTATTGTGCTGCTAGGAGGAACAGAACTGCAATGTGCTCAGAGAAGTCTTCAAATTGTGGTCTGAAAAAAAAAAAACCGCTGACCCACTATGAACAAACAAAACAAAACATCAGGCTATTTGTTACTAGGTGGTGCCTGGCATGTGAAAGATGATGTAGGATTAGCGACAACATGGTGCGTCTGAAGTGACAAAGGGTTTTTAACCCCAAACATGATCTGGGGAGTTTCCTTGTTGAGACAGACACAGACAGAAACAAGCTAATGTGGTACAGAAAGATCCACTAATAACCCAGCCTCTCCAGCCTCCTACTAATGACCAACATGCAGGGCGGTCTTTGCTCATGGAGGAAGGAGTTTCTTCCCAGGTGTGAGGTCTAAAACTGGGGTCTCCCAGGTGGAGAGGGGCCCAAAGCTGACACCATAGCCTCATGGTGGGGACTCAGGAGTGGAGTTCCACTTGTGTTCCTTGGCTGTGAAGCACTTGGTGCGACAGAGGACTGATACTTTTTCAGAGCTGTTTGGAAGGACTGTAGTGAGGGGACGGTTTTCAGGAGGCCCTGTGGTCCTCACAGGAAGAAGAAACTCTGGGTTGTGGTGCAAACTCGGCCAGACAGGCCGAGGGATATTAGGCAGGTCAAGCTCTCAGCTTATTTCTTTTTTTTTTTAAATTTTTTTTATAATTTATTTAACAGAGAGATCACAAGTAGGCAGAGAGGCAGGTGGGGGGGGGGGAAGCAGGCTCCCTGCTGAGCAGAGATCCCGATGCAGGGCTCAATCCCAGAACCCTGAGACCATGACCTGAGCCGAAGGCAGAGGCTTAACCCACTGAGCCACCCAGGCGCTCCTCTCAGCTTGTTTCTCAATGAATGGGGGGGAAGAGATGCTCCCTTTCTCTCTGAGACCCTTGGTGGAGAAAAGGTGAGTCCTGCCCATTTCATCTATGCTGGCTTCCAACACAGCTCTAAGCAGGGAGGCCCAAAGTCCAGTCTGTTGGACCAGCAAGGGTCAAGACAACACTGGATTCTAGAATCCTTTTTGAAAAGCAAAGGCTGTATAAGAATGACACAGGCTTTCACCTTGACTGAGGAAGAGCTGCAGAATGCACGTATGAAATGAACACACTGTTTGCTGTCTTCAGTACTATCATGCATGGCTGTCTGCTACCATTTATTTTTCTGTCTGCTACCATTTATTTTTCTGTATGCATCAGACATACCCAGGGCATAACTGGAGGGTCAGAGTTGCACATCCACCACTTTTTCTTCTTTAGCATAGTGTGAATGTAGACGTATGTGGGGGAACTGGATCTCAAAAGTTACGTTAAGCCTAACTGTTCAGAGATACCTTGAAGGGGCTAATTCCTGAGAAATGTTATCATTATGTGGGGATTTACATTTTTCTTAAAAAGGAAAGATCTTAAGCAAATATCAGGCTTTTCTCTTTTAAGTAATAGTGTGGCTTACCTGAAGCTTAAACTAACTGCCAGCTGTGATTTAGAGGGCAGGGAGGCACACTCCTGAGGCAGGCGGCACAGTGCAGGCCGCAGGCACTGTTGTGGGTCTCCCATTAACACATACTCAGGATTGGCAGTGCCCAGAGACTGCTGCCATGGGTCATGAAAATGCGGAGCCTATTTGTGAAAATATCCTGGGGGAGTCTTTAGCTCCACTAAGGCCAATCCACATGCAGAGTAAAAGATTATCTTTTATGTATATAATATAAAAAGTAGATCTTTATGTATCTAACCACTTGAAAAATTAGAAGAAAACACCTAGAAAAGTGACTACTTTTCTATGGTATAGGTTCCATTGCAAGGTGATGAAGCTAATAATGAGAATGTCATGGGTTAGTTAGAATCTTCTCTTGGTTTATGGATACTGCTGGTAGCTAAATTTGTTTTCCTTTTGAATCTTAAAAACTCCTTAATAAACTCCAAAATGTACGCTTAAAAAGTGCATTTTACGGGACAGAGTGGTTCGGCAAGTCTTTCATCGTCTGATCCAGGACAAATGTCACTTTCTCGGGGTGGGGAGTGCCTTCCCTGGCCACCTCAGCCAAAGTCGCCTTCCCCCCACCATCTTATTACCCTGTCATTTTCCCCCTTAGCACTGATCATTCTCAATGTTTTCTGTTTCTTATTCACTCAAATACCTATTGAAGGATTAAATCTTCACATTCACTGTCCAACACCTACTCCATACTTACCACTAAGGAGGTACAATCTTAACACCTACATCCCAGATTTATTGGGGAGACACACTTTGTTCATATGCCTGAGGACAGGGAGCTGGATAGGGCCCTTAAAGTGAACCACTGATCAAGTTAGAGTGGTTATGAGAGAAACAGCTTTGGCAGCTCCCTCCCTTCCTTTGTAACCCTACCCCCAAGAACACCCACTGCCACTGCATCCCCAGGGCCCAAGTTACATCTATACATGGAGCAACTGCACTGTCTCCATGACCCAAGTAACCAAAAGAGTTGTGGTTTTAGCAAACAGCCCAGTGACAGATGTCTGCAAGTGTGTGAAACATCCCCATTTTAACGATCTGATAAGAGCTATTTTGCATTTGAGGACTGACCCTGGCTTTATTTTTCAAATATGGTAGGGTGTGGTTACAACTGCAAATTCTGCCAGTGAGGGGAGTTCTCCTCTTTCCTCCTGCTACAATGGCCGAAACTCCCACCACTACTACAAAGAAGTAAATTGTGGGAAACCAAACGTGGTCATCATCTGTCACGTTGTCCAGGGCCAGTGTCAGCACCTTCTTTCCTGCCCGCTCCATAGTGCCCTCTGTGGTCATAAGGCACAATTCACATCAGCACTTACTAGAGCTGTTTTTATGCCCTTGTCAGCACGAAAGGATGAAGTAGATGAGACAGATTCATGGGGTGGGGGGTAGGGGAGCTTGGGCAGGTGCCTGGGGGCCGGAAGCACTGCCGTGGACTCTGGCAGTGTTGCCCTCCCTGTGTGCGGGCCAGCTGGGGCAGGTCTGCTGCCCCCCCGCGTAAGTGCTAAAGGGAGCATGAATATACTGACCGGATGACATGATGCACTTCAAAGGGTCACAGCTGAACGGACCCTCGAGGAGGAAAAAGGCCTCTCGAACTCCCCAAAAAGCAGAGTGGGATGAGCACCTTCTGGGAGCAGTCTCTGTATGTGCAGGTAACCCCAAGGACTACGCCTATGAAGAATCCTGGATGTTGTGACCCTAATTTCCTAACATTTTGTTACTTCGACTTCTATATGCAATTGTGACTGAGTGTTGAAGTTTAAAAAAAATCTCTTTAGGGGAGATACAGAAGAATAAAAGAATTTATCTTTCTAAACATCTCAACTTAGTTTTCTGCTCAGGTAAGGCTTTATACCAGCGACATGTACTGGTGACCACAGTGACTCCAACAGATGTCCTCAGCAGGAAGCCAAATACATTGCTGAGGGACGGAGACCATTTCCCACCAAATACCACACGCACATGCTGAGAGGGCCGGTGACAGGGCACCAGTTACATTAGGAGTCTTTGGTTGCTTTTAAAAAAACAAACCTGTGTTCTATCAGTTTACAACACTATAGCAGCAGAGAGAGAGAGAGAGAGAGAGAGAGAGAGAGAGAGAAGATAGCAAGAGAGAGAGAGAGAGAGAGAGAGAATAGAGAAGGGGGTGGTGTCCCAAGAGCTCTAGCAAGGACTCTGCTATTTGGTGGAGGAATGGTTATGGTTAATGTATCTGCACAAATGTTGAAGTTCAGGTCTTGGAACCTGTATAAAATATTCTGAAGACTAAAGAGCTAGCGGTGGCTCCCCCTCAAGTATAGGGATGTGGGTGGTTAAGGTTGGAGTTAGTAAAGGAGGTGGCAGTTTGGCAGGAAACTCAGTTTTACTCAGCTGTTAGCTGACGATCTTCAAGTCAGAAATGTCTTGGAAGCACTCGGAGCCCCACTGCAGCCTCTGCGGTCCTCCGGGCTCCAGCCATCCACCCAGCCTCGGAGCTGTGCCCCAGCACTCAGGCAGAGATGGAATTCTCTAAGAACTGCCTCCACCTCCCTGCCCCCTTGACCACGCCAAGTCTGCACTATGGCTTTTTTCTGACAGAATGAGTGCTGTCTCAAAGGAACTTAAAGTTGTGTGTATTAGTTTTCACGGCCTTAGTAAAAATTTTAGGTTAGCCATATCTTTCACCTCTAGCTCACTGGAAGCAGAGTGGAAAAGATATCAGAAGGCATCCGTTCTTCCCCCATGGATTTAGAAAAGCACCAATCTGGGACAAGCCTGTGCTGGGCCCAAAGGTGCTAGATTAATCTAGAGGCAAATCCAAATGATTCGAGTCAAAGGGTTATTTTCCATTATTATTTGCTCCTTCTGAAGGCCTTACTGTGAAATTAGATTGGGGTTTGGCCACGCTGGCAGGTATCCCCATGCTCCCTTGTTCGGAGGAGCAGGAACTGTGACTACACCAGTGTAGTGTTCCCAGTGGCATCTTTGGCTATGGAACAACATACTGTTTACTGCACAATATGAAACAGATCCAAGCATTTGGAGTGATCAATATTTTTCCGTGTTTCTGTGAAACACTGAATAGCAGGTTAGTTGGAAATGCAATTTAGCCAGGAATAAGCCAAATACGGTAATTTCGATAAACGAAAATGTACAAAAGGTGACATGTACAGGAAAACATTGCTGTCCATATTCTTGAAGTAGACTTTTCTTTTAAGACAAAAGTAATGACATTTGGTTCATTTTCACAAATTGCACACTGAGTAAAATCATACAAGCACTGTAGGGAACTCTAAGCAAGCAGTTCAGTCATAGGAATTTGTTTCTCGGTTCTGTTTTAAATGAAAAAGCTATATGAAATGCATAGCTTTGATTAAAACTACAGATACAATTTCCTTCTCTGTAAAACTCCAGATTTCAAATGCTGGCAAAGGCAGTGCTGGCAAAGTATTTAATGCACGTGGAAACGCTATTCTATTTTGGCTTCCAGAAGTAGCCCTAGAAAATTCTATGCACCAACGCATTGGCTAATAATGATCGTTTCAGTTTTACTATAAATTATTCTAAATGTCACTTAAGTACTTAAGAATTAGCGCTTGCTCCTTTCTAGAAGCTGTCTAAGGCAGCTGATGCACCAAGCACCTCAACTAGACTTCCAACTAGTTCAGCAGTTCAATCTATACTCCTTAGACCACAAGGATTGCTGTCTACACCCTTTACTGTACAACTCATCCTCACTGGATCCTCTCACGGTCACTTCTGCTTGTAAAAAGCAGCCCAGTCGAGGAAGAGACACATGACAAACGTGATGTCACGGGCTATTCGCTACAGCAATCTTGATTCTAACGAGGGTTACGTGGGTGTGGGGGAACACAAGGATCCCAACTCGTGGATGATAAATGAACTTCACTCATGCTGCCAATTCTTTAGGGACCGTCCCCTCTATCACCTCAGAAAACCGCTTTGTTTGTGGTGTGATCCATTGCTCTGTCGTTCAGAGTTTTCATTCATGCTATGTTAACTTTCATCTCAATCATCTCAGCCTTCAGATAATTTGCTTATTGTGTTTCCCTAGTTTTCACTGAACACACAGTGCAAACAAAGGCAAAGACTGAAGCAATCATTTCAAAAACAAGAGCTCACACTAAAAACACACATGAGCATCAAATATTAAAATGTGGGTTTTCTCCTGTCTTTATTCTGGGGAGGAGGAATCCTCCTCGTCATCTTCCTCGTCTTCGTCGTTGAATGAACAGGGGGTCTCGCCTCGTGACTCAGAGCAGTGAGAGGCCGCACTGCTGGACTGGTGACTGTTTGGGGCAAGGAACTGCCCAGTTGCTAAGGCCACTTCAGCATCCAAGCACAACCCTTGGTTTACACTAGCAAATAATTAAAAACACACAAGCTCATTAACGTGGTGAATGTTTTAAGCTTTGTAAAATGTAGGATTAAAAACATGGGAGAGGAGGTGCCACTGGGGCACTCTGCCCAAACCCGCTCCAGAAAGACCTGTGCTGTCAGTGACCCCTGGCTCTTCCCACGGAGGTGCTCAGGGCTTCACCACTTCTCTTTCTAACCCAGAAAAAATACGTACCTTGATTGTGACAAGGTGGCACCAGTGGTCAGGTCTAAATTTGAAACTGATTGAGTAGAGTTCAAAAGTAGTCCTTGATTTAACCAGGAAGGTCCTGTGGAGATATCTGTAGGGAGAAACAGAAACAGAAGATGTCGGTTCACTGCAAGTTGAAGGAAGCATGGATGAGGAAGGGCACAAGCCTGATCTAAATTATAGCTGGGTGAGGGGTGTCTGAGGGGCTCAATCGGTGAAGCGGCTGCCTTTGGCTCAGGTTGTGATCACAGGGTCCTGGGACGGAGCCGCGCATCAGGTTCTCTGTTCAGCGGAAGCCTGCTGCCCCTTCCCTCCACTGCCGCCCAGCTTGTGCGCTCTCTGTGTGCACTCTCTCAAATAAATAAATAAATAAATAGCTTAAAAAAAAAAATCACAGCTAGGTAAATCTCCTGCTCTGGGGATAATCCACATTTCTTCAGCTTGGAAAAGGAAATCTCTAGGACATAAGAGTAGGAAAAAAAATATGGGAAGGCAGACTACAGTGAGGAAGAATTCTAATTAAACCAATCACAGACTCCCACTCATTTTTCTTAATTAAGATCTTGAGAGACAGCTGAGAGTCCAGTGATTGCTGCACTATTCTTGGACACCTGCTGTCCTCACCACCAAAGATTCTGACTGGTGTTAAAAGCTAAAGCCAGGGGGCACCTGGGTGGCTCAGTGGGTTAAGGCCTCTGCCTTCGGCTCAGGTCATGATCCCAGAGTCCTGGGATCGAGCCCCACATCGGGCTCTCTGCTCTGCGGAGAGCCTGCTTCCTCCTCTCTCTCTCTCTGCCTGCCTCTCTGCCTACTTGTGATCTCTGTCTGTTGAATAAATAAATAAAATCTTTATTAAAAAAAAAAAAAAAGCTGAAGCCAGGAGTGGGTAAAAAGAAAGTGAAATCAGAAACAGGTAAGGACGGGGGTGCCTGAGTGGGTCACTTAGTTAAGCGTCTGACTGACTCTTGATTTCAGTTTAGGCTGTGATCTCAGGGTTGAGATGGAGCCCTGCATTAGGCTCCATGCTGGGCATGGTGCCTGCTTTGGTTTCTCTCTCTCCCTCTCCCCCTCCCCACCTTCTGGGGGGAAAAAAAAAGACAAGAAATAGGTAAGGAGGTTAGACACATTTTTACTAAAACTCCCACTGCACCATCTTTTCATGTGCTCCCTAAAGAACTCAGTGCTATTACTCATAAAAGATACATTCTCTTCCCTGGTATCCTTTGCTCTGTAACTCAAACCAACCCTTATTTTAAAAGGTCATATGCAGTCACATTTCTAATGAAGGTGAGATAGGCATTACTGTTTTAGTCTGCATAAAATATTTTGGGTGTATAACCTTGTAATCTTATTTCCTATGCATATATCATATTTCTCCAATCATAACCCTAATAAATTATTATAATTTTATTAGTTTCATACTGGTCTCATTGTCTATAATTTAGCTCAAAGAAGACAGTGAGTGGAACATGTAAGATTTAAATGTTACTGAATGAATGAGTATAGTCTCTTTCACATTAAGTTTACAAAAGAGGTGAAAGAAATGATAGAAATGTATTCCTAAAAAGAAATTCTTTGACTTGCATTACAAAATAAGACCATATACATACTCAGAAACTGCAATTTAGTAATGAGCCTTTATTACAGCTAATCAAAATAGTTTTGTAATTACTGTGCCAAAAAAAAGGAACCCCAAAAATCCCCCAGAACTATATGTACTAGGATTAAACACTCTGCTATTGGTACTGTCTGACCAAGTGAGAAGCTTCCTATGTAGAAAAAAAGGAAACTAAATGATTTCATTAATTTTAGAATGGCCTTGTGAACCCTTTTTTTATAGGCTAGCTAAGACAGCTGCGGAAAAAAAGAACTTCAATTCTAAGAAGAATAGCAGACTTTAACTACATTAAGTAAGAACAAGCCTGTGCAAGATGAAATTAAAGCCAGAATCCTGTGGTGAATATTAATTAGTATATATGGAAACTTTCTGTCAGAACACAGCTATTTACTTGTTTGTGAGCGTGACACAGTAAATTTTCCTTTTCACAATGGCTTTGAAAAGCCTACATTTCTTTTGCATTATCATAAGATCCACACAATAGTTCTCACAATCTAACTCGAGAGCCATTCTGTCCCTTTGCACACTAAAGGCACAAATTTCTTCTTTTAAAGTAACCAGAAAGTCTATGTCCCAGGCTGCAAATGAGGTCACAAAGAGATCAAAACCATAGAGCCTGCCTGATTGCCCTGAGCCTTTTCACTGAGAATAAGCTAAAATAAAGTTCTGGTGATTTACTGAGTAAGCCCTTTATTCAGCCCCTGCTGGACTGCCACTATGCCTGCACTGCTAAGAAAACAGAGGGCCTGCTCGGGGACAGAGTGGGAAGAAGGGAGCGTGGGGGGTGAAGAGAGGGGGCAAGCTGGCTAAAGGACAAGAAGGGGTCACACCTGCAGCAGGTGGATGGTGCCAGTTGAAGAACCAAATCCAACAGAAACCAAATCTCAATTAACAAACTTGTGTTTTGACCAGAGGACCAAAACCATAGAGCAAAATAAAATAAGGACGAGGGGCACCTGGCTGGCTCACTGGCAGAACATGAAACTTGATCTCTGGGTTGTAGTCCCCAAGGTGGGTGTAGAGATTACTTAAAAAAAAAAAAAAAAAAAAATCTTAAAAAAAAAAAAAAGAACTACCGCTTTGCTCATATTTGATTTATTATACCTTAGAACTAATAGTATAGTGCCTTCAGAAAGTGATGTGAAATTCTAGGTGGTGATATTTATAAATCAAGGAAACTGGTAAAAGCAAAGGCAAAAGCATTATTTATGCCTCCAAATTATATGTACAGAATATACATAGTCTTGGGAAATGAGACAATCATAAAGATTTCTGAATCAGAAAAAAAAAATCTGAATTAAACAACATGCAAAACATACTGTCTTTGTTTTCAAGTATACTCAGTATATTCTTAAAAATCACAATAAAAAGACAACCTGATGCAAAAATGTGCAAAGGATCTGAATAGATATCTCTGCAAGGAAGATCTACAAGTGACCAATAAGCACACAAAAAGACGCTTAGCACACTAGTCATTAGGAAAATGCAAAATAAAACCACAGTAAAATACTACCTCGCATCTACAAGAATAGGTTATAATAAAAAGGATGGACAGTAATAATTACTGAGAAGGATGTGGACAACCCAGAACCCTTATACACTTCTGGTAGGATTGTAAAATGGTACAAATGCTTTTGGAGAATAGTTGGGCAGTTGCTCAAAATGTGAAATATAGAGTTGCCATTTGACCAAGAAATTGCACTACTAGGTATAGAACCGGAAGTGACAATTTAGGATCACACGGAAACATGTACAAGAATGTTTATAGCAACATCATTCGTAATAGCCCCGAAGTAGAAACAATCCAAATGTCTGCCAACTAATGAATGGGTAGATGAAATGTGCTATTATTCATACGATGGCAATAAAAAGGGATGAAGTACCGGTGCTACGGCATGGATGAACCTTGAAAACCTCATGCTAAATGAAAGACGTCTGTCACAAAGGCTGCTAGTGCACGATTCCATCTACAGGAAATATCCGGAATGGACAAATCCAGTGACAAAGCAGATTACTGGTTGCCTAGGGCTGGGAGGAATGGGAGAAGGAGGGACTGCTAATGTGTATGGGGTTTCTTTCTGAAATGATAAAAATAAAAATGTTGTAGAATTAGTGATGATTGCACAACCATATGAATATACTAAGTCCCACTGAAGTGTACATACCATAAAATGGTGAATTTTATGGTATGTGAATGAAATCTTAATTAAAAAAAATGAGGATGCCATTTCACATCCACCTGATTTGGGAAAAATAGAATTATTTCCATCCTGCAGGTGAGAATGTAACTTGTGAAATCAAATTAAAAAGCTCTGGCTTTATCATAAGTGAAGCTGCAGCCGCCCCCACTGGGGACCCATCTGTCTCATGCCACACACCGGCACGTGAGGCACTATGGTATCATCACAGAAATGTTCAAAGTAGCACTGTTTTTCATATTAAGAAACTGGAAACAAAACTCAAAGGTTCATCATCAGTAAAATGAATAAATAGTGATATAATCATATAATGGAGTTCTATACAGTGGTAAAAATGTATGAATTACAGCTACATTAAATCATGTGGATGAATGAAAAGATTATGTTGAGTGGAAAAACCCATTATCACTAAAGAATGTATCACTCACTAGGAGTCCATTTATATAAAGGTCAGCAGTAAGTAAAATGAAACAAGAAACTGTTCCCAGTTTACTATATTTGTGTTTGTATCTCTAAAGAAAAGCAAGCAATGATAAGTAAGAAATTCAAGGGAATGGTCACGTTTAAAGGGGACAGAATGGGAAAGCATTCGTTAACATACCTGTGATATAACCTTCTAAGGCCTTTGGCACCAGTGATTTAGCAAGTTTCAGATCCTCCAGAGAGCATTTGCCTGACTCCAGGCCAAAGGACATTCCCATCCGCTTCAGTACTTCTATGTCATCATGGATCTCAAAGGTGTTGTCAAAATTAAAAAGATATTCAAACCTGCATCAGAAAACAAAGTTAGTACGGGACTTCAGTGGGATAGGGGAGGGCTGCGTAGTGTGGTACTCTGTACATTACATAAAAGAATGAGGGCCTATGTTCAGCTGTAGTACTGGAAACAGCTACTGTCATTCCGCTGTGTTCAGGGGAATGACATCTCAAATAAGCCACTTTGCCAATTAAAACAGTTTTCCTATGACAGACAATAGGAGTCCATAAACTTCAGCCCTCATTAAGCTGTTACAAACAGGGGACAACTTTGGTGTAAAGCCAATACTTTTCAAGCTTTGTCACAAAAGTCAAATTATTAAGAAAGCCTTTTCAGTTTAATATATGACAACCCTACTCTGAGTTGGCCTATTAGGTTTGAGGAAAAAAACCCCATTTTGGATGCTTGCTTAATGTTCCTGAATCAAGTGTTAACTAAAGCATACTTTAGATAAGCAATAAATGCATGACTTTTCACAAATGAACCAAAACTCAAATCCTGTCTTAAGAGCCTAAGAAGTGAAACAACTTAAGGAAAAAGTGCCACATAAATATATAGAACATTTCCAAATGTTCTTGAAAAATACCAAATCAGGGATGCCTGAGTGGCTCAGTCAGTTAAGTGGCTGCCTTCAGCTCAGGTTATGATCCCAGGGTCCTGGGATGGAGTCCAGCATCTGGCCCTTTGCTCAGCAGGGAGTCTGCTTCTCCTTCTATCTGCCGCTCCCCCTGCTTGTGCTCTCTCTCTCTCTAGCAAATAAAGAAAACCTTAAAAAAGAAAAGTACCAAATCAGGATGCCCAGATGCCCAGTACACCCCAAAAAAGGTGAATATAGGGGCGCCTGGGTGGCTTAGTCATTAAGCATATGCCTTTGGCTCAGGTCATGATCCCAAGGTCCTGGGCTCGAGCCCTGCATCCGGCTCCCTGCTCAGTGGGGAGCCAACTTCTCCTTCTCCCTCTGCCTGCCACACTGCCTACTTGTGCTCTCTCTCTCTGCCAAATAAATAAAATCTGAAGAAAAAAAAAAAAGTAAATATAGGAAAGCATAGTCTTTTTGACTCCTAGGCTAGGCCCTGGGGCACCTTCACACCCACAGGCCTCAGCCCTATGGGGACGGAGTGCAGTGAATATTCTGGCACAGTGGTGCATTTGTTTATGTTGTCATGAAATTCTTACTAAAGTCATGAGAAGGTAAAATTATTCATGCTATATCTTACATCAGGGTAAAGATTATAATTTAAAGTGAAATGCCAAGTTTAAATAATCTGAAGTATATAAATCTGAATAAAGGATATTAACAAATTTTCAGGAAAAAAAAATGCCTGTCACAGGGATGATTCCTGGCATATGTTAAAAGCAGACGGTTCTGTAAATTTAATCCCCATTGTGAAAAAGCCTCCAGGCTAATTAAGGGGAAAAGATTGCATCACCAAAGTAACTGAAAGACAAGGCTTTAGGACCTACCTTGCAACAAGCTTGTACAAGCTGCTCATAGCCTCCTTCCCTTCACTCAGAGGAGGGCCAGGAAAGGGCATGAGTCAGTAAACCACTGAGGGAAGGAAACCTCACCAGGCCCCAGCCTGGGATGAACAGAATCCATAATTCCCTTAGGTCAATGGTTCCCAGATTCTCTTGCTACTCTTTTTTAGACTTAGAACACTAAGTGATGAAGAGAATTTAATAATCCCTTAGAAAACAAGAGGCTAACTGGAGAGAGAAACTAGAATTCTAAGTTTGTTTCTCCTGAAAGTATGTTAAAAATTCTATAGGATTCTCAGTTTTATGAGAATATATGTTAACAGTCCCTACAGATGTAGGTTTTTGAGGATTTTGCAACTGTGTGAATAATAATACAGACACATACCATTACTGACCACAGGGCTGGGTCCTTTAAGAACTGATCTATAACTTTTGAAAACCAGCAAGTTAAATACTGTAATTCTCACTTTTGTAGGAGGAAACAACCAGATCTCAGAAAGGTTAAGACACTATGTTGCTAGCAGACAGAATGAAAAATGGATCTTCTGACTTCATACCATTTTTCCTTGTGTCTATAGTCTTAATTATCAAACACTTTTGAAATCCCTGCTCACTGTTTTTCTTTGGGCACCTTCTTATTTAAGTGACCCAGAATCTCTGTATGCAATCAAGAGAAACAGGGGAAGCAACACGGCCTGAGACAACAGTGGGAAAAACAAGGGAAGGCAAAGCCCAAGGGCAATGCTGTAGCTCCAAGGAGACCAGAAGTCCTAGTCTCCCGGACAGGCTTGGATTATGCCTGTGGGACTGATATAATTACTGGGCCTCTTTTGCTTTCAAATGAATCCCAATTTGGTCAATAGATTATATGCTGACTCCTTGTAACAGCAGCTATATTTATAAAGTGCTTGCCTTGGGTCAGACCCTTTAAAGACATCATGGTATTTAAGCCTCACAAGGCTAGGATGTGATAGAGGCCTTGGAATCATCCCCTTTTGTTCTTTAGAAAGCTGCTCTGAAGCAGCTAAATGGGGGAGTCACAATCCACATTTGGGTCTGTCTCACTCCACAACCCTACTTCCTTAACTATCTCAGGACACAGGTCATGGCCTGAAGACTACTACTGTTCTCATGAAGGGTAAAGTTACAAATTACAAATTAATTACAAATTACAATTAATTCTTAGCAGTATCTTTAAAACTGCTACTTTTCACTTGCTATGATAAATATCATCATCAACTTTAGTTAAAATGTAAAAAAATCTCGGTGGGAATGTAAATTGGTACAGCCACCATGGAAAACAGTATGGCGGTTCCTCAAAAACAAACAAACAAACAAACAAACAAACAAACAAACAAACTACCATGTGATTCAGCAATCTCACTTGTGGGTATCTATCTGAAGGAAACAGAATCACTATTTCACAAAGAAAACCGCACCCCCGTGTTCACTGCAGCATTATTTACAATAGCCAAGATAGAGAAACAACCTGACTGTCCACTGAAATATGAATGGATAAAGAAAATGTGGTATATGTGTGTGCACACACATGTTTGTGCACAAATGGAATATTTGGCCATAAAAAAGAAGGAAATTCTGACATTTGCAACAGCATGGGTGGACCTTGAGGGCATTATGCTAACTGAAATATATCAAATACTGTATGATTTCACTTATATGTAGAATCTAAAAAAAAAATGAACTCATAGATGCAGAGAACAGACTGGTGGTTGCCAGAGGTGGAGGTGTTGAAGGTTATCAAAAGGTATAAACTTCTAGTTATAAAATAAACAAGAAAAAAAGCAAGCAGAGAATGCATCTAGCATTTTCCTGTCCATTCATTAATAAAGAGAAGCATACTCAACTCAGATAGAGCAAAACAAAGAAACAACTGCCTTAATGCCACATGCTAACCTAAAATATTTCCACACTAAACCATGGAAGTGAATCACCAGTGAATCCACCTTGTCCCAGGCTCTCACTGATGGTCTACTTTAAGGCAGTTACTTGCCCAGGGTTACCACATACATGTACATACACGTGCACCTTGGCCAGGGTCTAGGGCCACAATGCATATAGGACAGGCAGTGCAGTGCCAGGCACAAGATAGGGGCTGAGAGGGTGAGTGATGAAGAATGCACTAGTAGATGGCAGCACTCCATGTCTGCACCCCAGGGAGGTCAGCCTCAGAGGGCTCGGATAATGAAGAACACCCTTCTTTATGCTGTGAATGATAGGAATGTGTTCCCAGGAGGCAAGCCCTACAGGCCTCCCCTAGTTCTCCACTCACTTGTCACTGGAGATGCTGCAATCTATGACTGTTTTTCTGCTTGTATTGATGATTATAAATGGCAGCTGAATGGTGGAGTTCAGAGCTGGAGGACCCTGGTTCTGCTGTTCATTTTGCCGATTTCTCTGAACCAGGTTTTTGAAAGCGATTTGCTGTAATGATCAAGAAAAAGAATATGGTCATTTAATGTGGATAAGTGAGTTGGGAAATTTAGGACTTAAAAAAAAAAACACAGTATACATTGCACAAAGATAAGCAGAGGAAAAAATATTCAACTTCCCTTAATGAAGGCTATCTAGGGGTATGAACATCCCCCCTGCACGAGGGTGATCATGCCCAGCACCGTTCTTTCTGATAAACAGGTAACTACAGGCATACTGATAAACAAGTATTCTTAGTAACATTATGCCAAGAATCAGGCTCCAAAATGTTCCATGAGGAACATTGAGGAAATCCGAGAAAGGCTTGGCACAGAGGTGAGGGAGTGTGAGCTAGTGGGAAACCCTGTGGGGACAGGAACAGCAGGGGCAGGGGAGGGGAGCTTGGAAGGAAGTGAGAGCACGGATCAGAAGCCAGCGCCTGGCAGGCCAGGTTGCAGAAGGCAGAATTCCACAGGGAGGAGCACAGGAAAAAAACCATCAGCTTTCAAATTCTTCTAAGTGTTTTGTTTTATAACCTGCAGAATACTCTTCAAACAAAACCTTATTTTGAAATCCAGTATGAAAAATACATAAAATGCTTGCTCTAGCACTAGCTCCTCAGGTAGGTCCTGCAGGGTTCAGAGTGAAAGCAGACACAGAACACAGCAAGGAAGAAAGTGGCGGCCTACTCAGGGCGGAACATCACCTTTGGAGCTTGCCCGTCTTTGGGCAATCTCTGCTCTATCTGCTGCTACTTCTCTGCCCCTGGTCTACTTCCTTTCCTACTTCCTTCTCAGATCATACGGAGCTCTCTGCAAGGGCTAAATGCTCTTCTCTTGCTGCTGTGATTTACATATGAAGGTGAAATAAACAAAGAGAAGCATCTAGAAAGTGAAAAACAAAAATGTGGAATATTTAAGAATACCTAACCTATTCTGTCCATTAGACAAAGGGAGTGTTTTGGGAAAACACTGCTACAGTATTTGGTAACTTAATTGTTACCTTTATTTATGAAAAGTGGACTCACCTAAAAAATTAAATAGGCTCTAACATTGTGAAATTAAAGTGGATTTTATGAGTGGTTGAAAGCTTTTCATATAAAGACAATTTGCTGATTAAAAAATAAAAAAGCATAAAGACCCTCTGGGCTCATTTTAAAAAGTGATTCTGATTGCACTGAAAATGACCCCAGTGTACTGCTCAAAGTGAATTTTTACAGCAACTACAACTACCAAAAATAAAAAAAAAATAATTAAAAAAAAAAAGGCCATGTGATTTTACCTCAATGATTTTATACACTGGCTCTATTATATTTGAAAAACCATCCAAATTCCAGGCAATTATCCAAAACAGTATAAATATAGGGATCCTTATTACACTATAAAAGCTAATTTTCTTAAAAAGAAGTGCATTTTAACTTTTGGTATTTCTACAAAGTTTATCGAATCATTCATTACATATTGTTCTGTTATTTACAGATAATAAGTTATTACAGGTGGATCTGATAATTTTACTCCAAGTGCCTGAAGTTTAATGAGCCTTACTTCTTGATATTCCAAATTAGGGCTAAAATAAACACACACGAAAGGACTTCTGACAGTTTCTGTTCAGAGTAAGAGTAAGTGTCAGAAGTAATGCATAATATAAATCATGCACAGGGTAGGTGACCTGTCATGGGGCCATGATGATGGTGAGAGACAATCATCGTAACGGCAGACCATGTGGATGGTGGTGAGCTCAGATGTGGAGGAGGCCGCCCTAGTGCGGTCCCGTCAGACACTACTCAAAAGGCAACCAAAGGAGAAAACACCAATGCTAAAAGCAAATAAATAGAGTAGCAGAATATAGGTACCGAAAGAATGAAAAACATCCCAGCTTCTTTACCTGCAGGAGAAGTTCTTGCAGCTGGGCCCGCTTCTGCTTTATCCGTTCTATCCTCCTCTGCTTCTCTATCTTTAAAACACAGGTTACAAAATAACATGAACATATGGAGAGTATAAAGTATTGCTCACTTCCCAGGTTCCCATTCTCAGATATCAAGAATTTTCCTTAGGGGTGCATGGGTGGCTCAGTCCATTAAGTGTTCAATTCTTGGCTTCAGCTCAGGTCATGATCTTAAGAGCCTGCATTGGGCTCTGCACTCAGTGCGGAGTCTGCTTGGAATTCTCTCCTTCTCCATATCCTTCGGCCCCTCCCCCAGCTCATGCTCTGTGTTCTCTCTCTAAAATAAATAAATCAATCTTAAAAAAGGAATTTTCCTTAAAATTCAATCCACTTTAACAACCAATATCAATAAAGGCATATCACACCTTTTTGGGGAGCAGGGGTTGGGGTATGCAAGTAGGCATGATAGCAGAATTGTGGTAACTCTTATTATTAATGAAACCCATCCACTTAATAAATACTTGATATGCAGTACTTGTTGCTATTTTCAAATTCTAATCAAAGTAATAGCTAACACTTAATGAATACTTACTCTGTGTGCCAGCAACTCAACTAAGCACTTTATACACACATTATCTTTTTTTCCCTCCCTACACACATTACCTTAAGGCATCTTCTTAAGACCCTAGGAGGTGAGAACTGTTGTTACCCATTTTCCATGTAAGGAAATGGAGGCATATAGGGTTAAGTAACGGCCCAAGGTCACATAGCTAGTGAAGGGCAAGAGTCAGGATTTGAACCTAAGCCATCTGGTTCCAGAGACCTTACTATTAATTACTTTCTTATATTACCCCCAACCCAAAGAATGCAGTAAGATCTCATTTAAGATTTCAGTTTAACTGACTTTTAAATAGGCATACCTCCTAATACAGAGAGCCTACATATTCAATACACAATTTCTACTTGTAGAGTAAGGAACATGCTTATGGGACAAATTTCCCAGCTTCACACAACTATTACTTAATAGTTAACTTAATAACTAAATAGTTAGTAGGGTCTGAATTTCCTTATAGATGAGTTCCTCACTGTGTCTTTGGGCAAAAGTGAGTAACATCAAACATGACATTTTTCTTGTCAACTCTAACAGTGTTTCTTATTTGCTCCCCATCTACTCCAGTCTGCACCAAGAGTTTCTTCTCATTTTTCATCTAACCACTAAAGCACTTTCATCTTAAATTACTTAAGATTCACTAGAAAAATCTATATGGCTTTCTAAATTTGAAAAGGGTTTCCCCCCTGTACCTGCAGCTGTGACAGGCCAGTCCCCTATCTGTCCCTCATACCCCCATTTAACACCAAGCCAAGTTGTATCAATTCTACCTGTAAAACACCTCTCCAACCTCATGACACTGACTTAACTCAGACCATCTCCAAGCCACCCCCTCAATTTCCCTCCTCATCTTCCTGTTAGTTCAACTTCCAACCTCACTAGGAGGATGATCCCTTGAATATGTCCCATCAGTCTTGCTCTTTATATTCAAAAGCTTCCCACTGTTTCCAGGATCAGGTCCTCAAAGCTTCACACTTAGAAATCCATCCCCTTTAGCCCTGCCTGTACTCTGGTCACACCCAGCTGTGTACATGCATTCTTACGTCTGCCTCTGGAAGGCCCCCTGCCCTAAACCACTGGGCAAACGCCTACACCTCCCTCATCACTGAGCTCAAGGAATTGTTTCTTTTCTTGGTAAAGCCCTCCTTCATCTCCCTTTCCAGAGCATCTGTATATATGTCTTTCACAGGAATAATTGACCACAGTTTTGATAACTTCTTTTACATTTTTCCTTTCCTCAATTAGAATGAAAGCTCCTGGGGTCAGAGATTCTGTCTTGTATAATCTTTGGGTACACACACAGTAACTGCTAATAGATTTCTGCTTGTTGAGGCTTTGTTATCAGCTTACTATTACTGGTAATAAAAATGATCCTCGGGATACCTGGGTGGCTCACTAAGTTAAGTGTCTGCCTTTAGGTCAGGTCACGACCTCAGAGTCCTGGGATCGAGTCCCAAATTCGGCTCCTTGCTCAGCAGGGAGCCTGGTTCTCCCTCTGCCTGCCACTTTCTCTCTCTGACAAATAAATAAAATCTTTAAAAAAAAAAATTAGAGAAAAAAACTTAAAAAAACAAATCCTCAAATTCTACTCTATCAGGAGAAAAGGAGGTCATTTCCATGGTAGCATATGAATAACATTCTATAACCATTTTTTTTTGTTCAAAGATTTTATTTATTTGAGAGAGAGAGCATGAGTGGAGGGGAGGGGGCAGAGGCAGAAGCAGACCCTCCCCACTAAGTAGGGAGCCCAACGTGGGACCTCAATCTCAGGATCCTGGGATCAAGACCTGAGCTGAAGGCAAATGCTTAACTGACTGAGCCACTCAGGCACCCCAACATTCTACAGCTCCTGATGAATGTCTGATTTCTCCCTCCATCCACAAGGGCAGTAATATCAAATAAGTTTTGATTTGCTGAGGGGAAAAAGGACTAATAAAAACATGAAATCAACCATATTTATTGCCAGAAACTATATTTAACCTCAGTGTATTCCATTTATGGCCATGAGAGTACAATTATGTCAAATCAATTTAAAACCAGTAGGTCAGGGCACATGCTCATATAGGAAAGATTTTATATAGCATCCCAAAATCATGTACACTGAACATTCTATCCTTTCTGATAAAGACACAGATGAAATACCATTTTGTTGCCACTGATGCGAGAATCAAGGACAAAAGTTTAAACACTAAAAGTAAACAGCCAGTTTGATCTTTTTTTTTTTTTTTTTTTGGGATCCATACAGCAATCATTTCATCAAATAACATATTATTTCTATTCATGAGTTGTCAAAAATTTATTATTAGAGTGTTCACAATTAAACTAGAATAAAATACCTTTTCTAAGAAATGTCTATGTCTCTCATTAGTCAACTAAATACCTTTCTAAATCTCCTTCCAGTTCTAAAATTCAACAAAGAGTCTGACAAAAAAAAAATAGTATACATGAATAATTAGAAATATTTTAATATTATATGTATTCCTAAATTAAAATGCCTCTTATAGAGGTGCCAGGTTGGCTGAGTCTGCTAAGTGTCTGCCTTCGGCTCAGGTCATGATGTCAGGGTCTTGGGATGGAACCCTGTGTCAGGCTCCTTGCTCAGTGGGGAGTCTACTTCTCCCTCTCCCTCTGCCACTCCTCCTGCTTGTGCTCTCTAATAAATAATTCAAATCATTAAAAATAAAATAAAATAAAATGCCTCTTATGTAAAATAGAACAAACTACTATCTAAAAACAGATTTTTCCACTTACCTCAAGATTTTGACATTCCTGAGCAGAATTGGTAGGCAGGCCAATCCACTTGATTTCTTTTTTTTCCTTTGAAATTATGTTCATTGCCATTAACACATTTAAAGCATCATAAACTCTTCTTCTAATATTCTTCTGGTCATAAGCCTGCTAAAAAATACTTTTAATGAGTGATAAATTTCAAGGCTTAAGATACAGTCACAGGATATTAGGATATTTAATATTATTATTATAATATCTTAGGAGTGTTTAAAGAATTCTATACCCAGTGAAAATATCCTTCAAAAGTAAGGATGAGATAAAGATACTTTCAAACAATCTAAAACATAAAACATTCTAAAAAATAAAGATTACATTAGCAACAGATCTAAATGAAAAAATATTAAAGGGCATTCTTCAGATAGAAGAAAGATGGATGGGATACAAGGTAGAAGTTTGGAGATGTAGGATGGAATGAAGACCAACATGAAAGACAAATATGTGGGTATATTTCAAATAACACTCACTTTATAAAATAATAATGTCTTGTGGAGTCAAGAATATATATAGAACTAACATAAGTGACAACAGTATATATCAGAAAGGGGTAATGGAGGTATTAATTAAAGTGGGCTAAAACCCTGCATTGTCTGGGAGGATATTATAAGACTTTGAAAAGTCAAGGATGCATGTTTTAGTTAGGTAAAACAGTGCTTTTCAAGTATGTGGTCCAAGGACTAGTGCTGATCTGAAAACTGTTAATGTTTCTACGATGAAAATAGGGAACTTGCACCAAAATATCACCACACAGATCACTAAAGCACATTGTTTATTTCAGCTGATTTTTTTTTTAAGCAAGATTTTTCTCAATGAAGGAGACTGTGTTAACTTAGATTGTGGAAAGAAAAAAACCTGCATTTTATTGTGGACAAGCAGTTCCTATGAAAAATCCAATCAACGAAATGCCGTGATAATAATGGATGGTTGAGAAAACTGAATACAGAAACTAAACCTGAAGGGAGAAACTGACGTTACAGAAGTGAATGTAAATATTAGAAATCCTGACCCTATAGAAATAATGATAATATAATAAAAAATATCAGGAGACAAACCGAAGTAGGCCTGCTGAGTGAGGTTCTCTTTGATATTTAAAGGGGCACAGGATCCAAAGCAGATGAAATATTCAAACAGATGAAGTACATTAATAATAAAGGTTTTGGCACAAAATATTTATTTAAAGTCGGGACGCCTGGGTGGCTCAGTTGGTTAAGCGGCTGCCTTCGGCTCGGGTCGTGATCCCAGCGTCCTGGAATCGAGTCCCACATCGGGCTCCTTGCTTGGCAGGGAGCCTGCTTCTCCCTCTGCCTCTGCCTGCCATTCTGTCTGCATGTGCTCGCTCTCTCTCCCTCTCTCTCTGACAAATAAATAAATAAAATCTTTAAAAAAAAAATAAAGTCATAACGACAACTATAATAATATTATTCTTTTAACAACTACCACTAATATATTCAATCTGAATTTGTGCTGAACAGGAATGACGGGAGATGCAAGTAAATACAAGCATATTAATTTTTTTCCTTCATAACCAACAGATACTGGTTTTATAGGTGACAACAAACAAAGGAAACAAAATAATGAAGTTACTTAAAGTTATAAAGATAACCAATTAAAGAACTAAAAGAACAAACCTTCCGATTTATTAAAAAAAAAAAAAAAAATCCCTCACACAGCAGGGAATAGGAAGAAAAACCCCCCAAACTTGTATCCAGGGATGGGGTTGGAGGTGGTTAGTAAAAATGTATGTTAGATGATGAAATGTACTAAGAAATGCCTCAGTACAGAGACATCTGAATGAAAACTGGAGGGGAGAGAGAAACCGTATGGCTCCTTAGCAGAGATTCACACAAAGGAAATAGTGAGTTTAACAGCCTGATAAGGAACATATCCGGCATATTCACTCCAAAACAAAAAAACAAAAAAACCCCACCAGTCTCATTCATGATCATCAGTGTGAAACTCCTACTAAATTTTCAGGAAACTATACAGAATTTGATTAAATTCAATATCCATTTCTGATATTTTTAATTAAGAAAAATGAAAGAAATGTTCATTTAAAAAGATCAAATTATGGTTGCTATCATTTCAAAATATAATCTTTATCATAAGGTGGCTAGAGTGTAGTAACAGGGAGAGTGCATAGCAGGAGACGAGATTGGAGAGGTAATGGTGGGCCAGGTCATATGGAGACTTGTAGAACATTTTTGAGAACTTCCACTTTCACTCAGAATCAGAATGTTACGTACCTTCTCTACAGTTGCCAGAGAAAAGAATGACTCACAAGAAAAAACTCAAAGCAACCCCCCAAAATATAAATAATTCAACTCACGATCTCTGATCACAGCTAATGAAAAACTCAGTAAAAAGTAAAAACCCAGAAAAACAAACAAAAATCCCTATCATCAGGAACTATAAAAACTCTAATGCCATTCTTAGGTCAGAGAGGAAATGAAAACCAAAGTTGCAGAATATTTAAAGAATAACATTATATCAGAATCAATGGGAAATGGCTAAAGCAGTAAACGAGAGGAAAAGTTGTAGCTATGAAGATTTTAATTACTAAACAAAATAATAAAAGTAAAGTATACACCATAGTCTATAGAATAGAAAAATAACAAAAGTAACTTCAGGAAAGAGAATATTAAATGAAGATAAAAGGGGTGCCCGAGTGGCTCAGTTGGTTAAGCGTCTGCCTTCGGCTCAGATCATGATCCCAGGGTTCTGGGATTGAGCCCCACATTGCGGGGAGCCTGCTTCTCCCCTCCCTCTGCTTGGGTGCTCCTGCTCTCTGTCAAATAAATAAATAAATAAAAATTTTAAAGAAAAATGAAGATTAAAAAAAAGAACTGCAAAACAGGAGGGTCAATATAGATCTAAGAAATGGTTATTTGAGAAAAATAATTGCAAATAATTTTGAGAACAGGTATGAAATGGAGGATTTTCCAAGAAAACATAAAATACCAAACTGACTCTAAGGGAGACAGAAATTCTAAACAGACTAATTACCAAAGAAAAAATGGAGAATACTATTTAAGCTTTACCCCCCACCAAATCGACAGGCCTAGATGGTGTCACAGGTGATTTCTATAACATGTCAGGGAAGAGAAATATACAACCCATGCTATTTAACCTGTAATGGAGTAAAGAGGAATAAGGAAGAAAAAAGCCTCTAAATTTTAAAAAACCAGCATTAACACTGCAAATCAAAACTGCAAAGATGGTAAAAAAAAAAAAAAAAATCCCACCAATCTCATTTGTGTCAGTGTAAAACTCCTCAGTTTTCAGGAAAGTATACAGAATTTGATTAAATTCAGTATCCATTTCTGATTTTTTTTTTAGTTAAGAAAGAAACTGGGATTGAGCCTTACATCGGGCTCTCTGCTCAGCGGGGAGCCTGCTTCCTCCTCTCTCTCTGCCTGCCTCTCTGCCTACTTGTGATCTCTGTCTGTCAAATAAATAAATAAAATCTTTAAAAAAAAATCAAATTATGGTTGCTATCATCTCAAAAATAAAACCTTTGTCATAATTAAGGTTGGAAGACTATAACTATTTCCACTAAGGTCAAGAACTGTTATAAAAATTATTGTGGGGGAAAAAAAGAATTGTTGTGGAGTACATATAATATGATTACATTTAAATAAAATGCAAATTGACCTATAATGATAAAAAGCAGATCAAAGGTTGCCTAGGGATAGAGGGAGAGGGAGGGACAGATTACAAAAGGCGGAAAGAACCTTCTGGAAGTGACAGAACTGTTCTTTATTGCTCTCTAAAATAAATAAATAAAATCTTTAAAAAATAAAAAAGGAAATAAATTTTATTATGTATATGCATAAGGAATTTGGGGGATGATACTCAAGAATCTCAAGAATAGTGAATATACCTTTGGGGAAACAGATTAAGGTCTTGGTAAGGAGATATTGTGGGGCACGTGAGTGGCTCAGTCAGTTAAACATTTGCCTTTGACTCAGGTCATCATCTCAGGGTCCTGGGATTGAGCCCCAGGTCAGGCTCCCTGCTTAGCGGGAAGCGTGCTTCTCCCTCTTACTCTGTAGCTACCCCTGCTTGTGCTCTCTCAAATAAAAATAAATAAATAAGTAAAATCTTTAAAAAGAAAAAGAGAGAGGTTTTTTATTATATACTCTTTGGTAAAACTGAATTTTTTAAGACACATTCATACATTATTTTTCAATTAAAAACAAGATAAATTTTTCAAATTGACTTAGATATAGAAGAAACATTAATGAATTCAGAAACACATCCCAAGTCATTCAAATATAAAAAGTATGTTTAAGAAAAGTATATTCCTGGGCACTCAGGCGGCTGAGCCAGTTAAGCGTCTGCCTTCGGCTCACGTCATCATCTCAAGGTCCTAGGATGGAGCCCTGAGTTAGGCTCCCTGCTCTGCAGGGAGTCTGCTTCTCCCTCTCCCTCCCTCTCTTTCAAATAAATAAAATCTTTTTTTTTTTTTAAAGATTTTATTTATTTATTTGACAGGGAGAGAGAGATCACAAGTAGGCAGAGAGGCAGGCAGAAAGAGGGGGAGGCAGGCTCACTGCTGAGCAGAGAGCCCGATGCGGGGCTCGATTCCAGGACCCTGAGATCATGACCTGAGCCGAAGGCAGAGGCTTAACCCACTGAGCCACCCAGGTGCACCTCAAATAAATAAAATCTTAAAAAAACAAACAAAAACAGTATGTTCCTTTTGTAGCCCCAAAAAGTAGATTTTTAAAAATATTTGTTAATCTTTATGTTTAAATATATAATAAAAGAACGCTTTCAAAAACAAAACTAACAAAAACTCAACAACAAAAGAATTCCCCAATCGGTAATATGAAACCCTCAGGTAAAGGAGTCGGGGATTCCTCAGGTAAAGGAGTCAGGGATTCCCCAGCTTGTCTGAGTCCTTAAAAAATGACAGTCAACCCAGAGATATACTATTTTGTCGTTCCAGTCAAAGTCACGTGCATGATGTACCTACCGAATCAGCGGCCAAATGGTTATTTGAATTGGTGAACTCTGATACCAGCTCATCAGCCACTTCATTATATGACGTTGTACCTTTCCGCTGAACTTTCTCACACACTTTCATGGAAAAATGTCTCAAGCCTTTTCCATTTTTATCTCCTTTTTTGCTTCGTTTACTAAAAGAGAAAAAAGTACATATTTATATACTAGACTTCCTTTATAAAACTAATGGGAGAATATAGTAATTTGATTCCTGCTTTAAGTGGTAAATTTTAAATTGAATTCGAATGAAGAAATGTTTTGAACTTAATTTTTGCCTTAAAGCAAAATAAAGTATGAAGTTGAGTGTTTTCTATACACATCATTCATTTATTCAATAAATATTTACTGACCAGTTACTTACTATTATGTGCCAGGTACTATTCTACATACTGGGAATAAATCCATGAGAAAAACAGACAAAAACACTGCCCTGGTAGTTACATATTTACCTTTTTTGTATTCTGTGTGTGCCACAGTTCTTTTTCACGTAAAATTAAAAGTACCACTATTCTCAGTTTCATTTATCTACTCAAATTTCAAACAGAGGTCATTGGTATTAATAAAAGATCTAAGTCTTCAATTATTTTAACTTTGGTTAATGCTTAGTCCTAAACTCTGATAACTTACTACATTTTCAGGGGTTCAATTTAGTTCTACCAATTTCTGAGTGCCAACTATATGCCAAGAACTGCAGTAGGGACTAGAATACAAAAATGACAACTGAGGCAAAATCCTTTCCCTTAGTATGAATCTCGTTGTGGGGTGGGGGGAAGACAGTGGAGAACAAATCAGACCTATAAGGACAGACAGTTCCAATGTAGTAAGGTTAAGTGCCAAGACAGAGTTATTTACAAGTTCATGGGAACTGAGAAGAGGGACATCTTATCTAACCTAGAGGAGAAAGATTTGCTGGAATAAGAGCCAAGTGAAAACAATCAACAAAATGAAAAGGCAACCTATGGAATGGGAGAAAATATTTACAAACCCTTTATCTGACAGGGGGTTAATAGCCAAAATAGCTAAGGAGCTCCAACAACTCATTAACAAAAAACCCCCAAATAACCCAATTAAAAATAGGCAAAAGTCATAGACAAAAGTTTCTCCAAAGAGAACAAACAAATGGCCAACAGGTGTATGAAAAGGTGCTCAACATCACTAATCATTAGAGAAATGCAAATCAAAACCACAATGAGGTATTACCTCACATCTGTTAGGATGGCTATTAAAAAACAAAACAAAACAAACAAGATAAGCACTGGTGAAAATGTGGAGAAATTAGAACCCTGGTACACTGCTGGTGGGAATGGAAAATGGTACAGTCGCTATGAAAAAAGTATGGAGGTTCTCAAAATATTTAAAATAGAATTTCCAGGGGTGCCTGGGTGGCTCAGTGGGTTGGGCCTCTGCCTTCGGCTCAGGTCATGATCTCAGGGTCCTGGGATTGAGCCCCACGTCGGGCCCTCTGCTTAGTGGGGAGCCTGCTCCCCTCTGCCGCCGCCTGCCTCTCTGCCTACTTGTGATCTCTCTCTCTGTGTCAAATAAATAAATAAAATCTTTTAAAATAAACAAACAAACAAACAAATAAAATAGAATTTCCATATGGTCCAGTGATCCGTTTCTGGGTATATATCCGAAAGAACTGAAATCAGGATCTCAAAAAGGTATCTGCACTCTCGTGTTCATTGAGCATTATTCACAATAGCCAAGAAATGGAACTAACCTAATGTCCATAGGCAGATAAAAGGATTTAAAAATGTGGATATACATACAATGGAATATTATTTGGCCCTAAAAGAGAATGAAATCCTGCCATATGTGACAACATGGATGAAGCTGGAGGACATTATAGCCAATCGCAGAAGGATAAATAATGCATATCTCACTTATATAAGGTATGTAAAACAGTCAAACACATAGAAGCAAAGAGTAGAATGATGCTTGCCAGGGCCCGGAGGGAAAGGGAAAACAAGGAATTGCTCAACACGTTCAATGAAGTTTCAGTTATGCAAGAAGAGCAAGTTCTAGATATCTGCTGTACAACATAGTACGTATGGTTAATGATAATGTACACTTAAAAAAGTTGTTGGGGGTAAATCTCGTAAGTGTTTTCACTGCCACCACCACCAAAAGAGAACTGTCAAGTGAAGGAAGTTAGTAAGGGCAACTAGGCAGAAGCAGCAGCAGTACACACATGGGAGAGTGCAACAGATGATAAATGTTCAGAGACTTAGAAACAAACAGTGCAGTATTACCAGAAGATAAAGTACAAGGCAAAAGATGAACCAGAAAGGGAAATAAGAGGCCAGGCCCATAAATGCCATGCAAAGGAACCTGTACTTTATCACCTTTAGTATAATTATATTCACTTACAAATTATTTGCACATTTGGGGTGCCTGGATGGTTCAGTCATTAAGCATCTGCCTTCAGCTCAGGTCATGATCCCAGGGTCCTGGGATCGAGCCCCACATCGGGCTCCCTGCTCAGCGGGAAGCCTGCTTCTTGCTCTCCCACTCTCCCTGCTTGTGTTCCCTCTCTCATTGTGTCTCTGTCAAATAAATAAATAAAATCTTTTTTTTTTTAAAGATTTTATTTATTTATTTGACAGAGAGAGAGATCACAAGTAGGCAGAGAGGCAGGCAGAGAGAGAAGGCAGAGGCTTAACCCACTGAGCCACCCAGGTGCCCCAATAAATAAAATCTTTAAAAAAAAAAATCATTTACTCATTCTACTGTCTTATATACATTAAGAAACAGACTAAATGTACTTTTTTAAAAGAACGAAGGACAGATACCTACTTTCTTTTTTTAATTTTTATTTATATCTATTTATTTATTTTTAAGGATTTTATTTATCCATTTGAGAGAGAGTGTGAGAGACAGCATGAAAAGGGAGAAGGTCAGAGGGAGAAGCAGACTCCCTGGAGCTGGGAGCCTGATGCAGGACTCAATCCTGGGACTCTCGGGATCATGACTTGCGCTGAAGGCAGTCACTCAACCGACTGAGCCACCCAGGCACCCTAGATATCTTTCTTTTTCCCCACATTCCCAAAGAATCACCTGTGGTCACAGACTACTACTACTATTACCACTAACTACTACTACTGAAATACTGGGAAGCCACTAAAGGTAACATGGTAAAATAGGCAGAGATTCTGGCTGCAAAGTAGAAAATGCCATTTATGAGGGGACAAAAGCAGAGACCAAATAAGAGGTAAGCCTAGGAAGAAATATCGACTCTTGAAATTGGGGCAACTAGATAAGTAGGGTTGAATAAGAAGAGATGGATTTGTGTAAATTTTAAAGATGAACATTTATTTTTATCTTTACTAAGTGACTGGTTGATACAAATGTTAAGAAAGAGGGAAGTGAGAGAACGACTCTTAGAAAGGGGGTCATTTATTGAGATCCGGGAGACAGGAACACAGTCATGAGCTGCATTTTAAGCCTCCTCATCCACATGGTCCAATACCTAGGTATGATCCACATGTAGCTATCGAGCACCTGAAATCTGGGAAGCCTAAATTAAGACGACTTCACTGAATTTCCAAGACTTGTATGAGAAATGAATGTTAAATACCTCATGGATATTTTTTACAGTAATTACATGTTGAAATATATTTTAGATATATTAGATTAAATAAGATATAAAAATTAATTTCAGGGGCGCCTGGCTGGCTCAGTTGGTAGAGCACGCCGACTCTTGATCTTGCACTGGGAAAGTGAGCCCCGTTCTGGGTGAGGAGATTACTTAAAAATAAAATCTAAAAAATAAAAACAAATGTGAAATTAATTTTAAAACTGGCTATTAGAAAATTAAAAATTACATGTGCCTTGCATTACATTTTTTTTGGTCAGCAATAATATTAAGTTTGACATGTCAGTGGAATAGCCCAACAGGTATAATCAATAGATAATCAAAGATATAAGTCTCACTTTTAAGTGAGCTTATAGGACAGGTCACTTCCAAACTCATCAGCATGTGTACCCATGCCAACCTTCTTCCTAGAAGTCTTACAGGATGAGGTATCCCTTTTTGTTATTAAATCTAACTTCCTTTTTTATTTTTTAAAAAGATTATTTATTTATTTATTTGACAGACAGAGATCATGAATAGGCAGAGAGTCAGGCAGGCAGAGAAGGGAAGCAGGGTCCCCGCCGAGCAGAGAGCCCAATGTGGGGCTTGATCCCAGGACCCCGAGATCATGACCTGAGCCGAAGGCAGAAGCTTCAACCCACTGAGCCACCCAGGCACCCCTAACTTCCTCTTTTAAGGTAACAGCTTTATTGAAATATAATTCACACACCGTAAGCTCTATTTTTTAAAGTATACAATTCAGCAGCAACCATCACCACAATCTAATTTCTTCACCCTAAAGAGAAACCCTGCACCCACTGACAATCATGCCTCATTCTCCCAGACCCTCTTCTTTCTTTTTCTCCTCTCTCTCTCTCCTTTCTTCCTTCTTCACTTCTCGCTCTCTCCTTTCCTCCCTCCCTTTAAGCAGGTTTCACGCCCAGTGTGATACTCAATGTGGGGCCTTAACTCATGACCCTGAGATCAAGACCTGAGCTGAGATCAAGAGTTGGATGCTCAACTGACTGAGCCACCCAGGCGCCCCCAGAGTCAACTTTTCAACCTGAAAATTTCACTTCAGTGCTTCTATTTCTGTATTATTTGCTCTCCTTGAGCTGTTCTATCCAGTGTTTTGTTTTTAATATATAACTTTATTTTGAAACTGGAATCTGATCCAGACTCTAGATCCAATTTACCACAATAAAGGAAATAGCAAGGACAGAATAACACATTAAACTATACTACAGGGATTCAATAAGCAAATTCTTTAGGCTTTTCCTTTAGGATATATAATGTGGTTTCTTCAACTCAAAATTGTAGTGGGAATAAAGGAGGGAGGGAGGGGAAAAAGAGAGTGAAGGGGGAAAATAATAACAGAAGGGGAATCTACAGATTTTCTAAGACATAAATTTATTTAAATCCTGATTCAAATAAAACACACACACACAGACGCGCATGTGCGCACCAGTTATGGGGGAGTCAGGGAAAACAGCAATAGCAGCAGAGTTTTCAAACTCTCCAAATCCCCACATTAAAACAGAACAACTAGAGGGGCGCCTG